ATACTCAAAATGAAAAACTACATGATAGTGCTACTTTCTACTATACTGGATCTGTTTGGAAGGCCTTTTGTTCTGAATATATCGCGGTCTGAGTAAATGATAACATCTTGATTCTTCTTGTAAAAGATGCGCCGTCAAAATCTCTACAAAAGTTGTATGAACCAATCCCTATTGCAAAACAAAAAAGGTCTTGCAAAGATTTTTTATTACTCTTAATACGGTGAGAAGTAGCACTAGCATTTAGCTTTTTCATTTTGAGTATGGGAAAATCCATCAAAACAAGTCAATAGAGATTTGTTCATACAATTTTTGTAGAACTTTTCACAGCACATCTCTTAAAAGAAAAATCAAGATTTTATCATTTTCTCAAGTCGAGATATACACAAAACAAAAAAGATCTTTGAAACATTTTTATTACGGTGGGACAAAGCACTTACCATTTTGTCAAGTCGAGATATATGTGAAATTAGAAATGTCGCAAAACTTTTGGCACATCCGGTATAAAGACAAAGAAGTGAAAATATATCGAAAAAAATTTAATTTTTCTTTTCTTGAGAATGAAAATTTCAAAAGCAATCGTTCAAATACAAAGTCCGAATATGAGTATCGAACTCATACTATTTATCGAGCTCTTATAATGAATCATCTAGATAATTATTCAATCGATTCGAGTTTTTTCTCAGAAGAATTTTTAATGAAATTTATAGAGTTCTCATGATAATAAATCTTATGATGGTACCTTTGAATTTTCTCACCACTTCTATCATCTCAGTCGCAAAAACAGCGAATTCTTTCAATGCTAATGATGAAGAAATGTGTCTACATTGGATAATGAGTACGCACTTATAGTATAAATGACGATTACGATACATTGAAGAATTGATTTCGAAAATTCGAAAAATATGTACTTCTCACTGCATTTCGTATTCCAGTCGAAACTCAAATACCATCTCGCTATTCAAGATTCATTGTTCTTAGTTTGCTTTGATGATTTTCTGATTAAAAGATGTTTTAAATTGAAAATGAGAAATCTGTTGGATATACACTAGCTGCAAATTCTGTTTTATTCACGTATGAATTTAATATCTTTTGTCGTAGCAGAATTTCTTTTGCAGAAGATATTCCCAAAACATTCAAATGTTATAGATATGAAAGTTATCAAACACAATTAAGAAAAGAAACATGATCTACAATCAAAATACTTGGTTTCATGTATTTCAGAAATTTTGTTAATATACTTTTTGATGAACATATTATATCAGCATTTAATGACTTACTTTAAGCCACAATGATTTCTTGTCATTTCGAATCACACATAATAACCTGAGATGTATTGCATTTACTATATCAGAACTAAACAGAAAGTTCAGTCATGTGCATGAGAAAACAAAGATTGAATAAATGTTCTGCTATTTATTTTCCTCATCGAGTGTAATGAGTCATGATTATATTCTCTCTTGATTAATAACATTCAACATGATGGATTTCGCAAGAAATCATATTATTGTGCAAATAGTTAATAAAGTGAATCAGTGTGGGTGATGTAAGTCACACAAGAGTGGATCGACATTCACATTCACTCAAACCTCATTCTGGACGAGAGTTATTTTCCGTAAACTATATATATAGTACATTCATAGTATTTCGTGGAAATACATGTAAGTTTTATATAAAAATAAGAATGGAATCTAAATAAGATTTTTCTTTCTTCAAGTATTTAAGGTTTTCCTATATATATCAGTAGCGGAACGTTGAAAAAAGAAATTTCTTTTCAAAATTGTCCAGGCAGACAAACTTTTCAGAAAACGCGTTTAAACGCACAGAAATTGGCCTAAAATCCGCAAAAAGTGAACGTTTTTGGCTCACACTCGCGGTTCTCAACTGTGAGCCAAAAACATCTATTTTTCGCCCTTTTTGTGCGTTTAAACGTGTTTTCAGACAAGAAACATGTGTACACGCATACAAAAACGAGAAAAAAGTTGTCTTGTTTTCCCAACTCCAGAAACATTACTGTAATCATGATCATGCATCTCGAGTATGAGAAAACGACCATCTTTTCTCTTTTTTGTATGCGTGTACACGCGTTTCTTGTCTGAAAACACGTTTAAGCGCACAAAAACGTCCACTTTTCGCGGATTTTAGACCAATTTCTGTGCGTTTAAACGCGTTTTCTGAAACGTTTGTCTGATTGGGTGATAATTTCTATTATGAGAGAATAAACTGTAAGGAAAACAAATAGCTTTTTTAGCATCAGATGAGTTTTGTATGAAAACTTGATTTTAGTGAAATATAGATTTTTTTTTATCTAGTTTCCTACGTTAATTCTGAATTCACAACGCAATAAGAAAATTTATGAAAAACTAACAAAAGTTCAAATGCTTAATCTACTAAAAATCTAGTAAAAATCATTATTTTTCAATGTGAAAAGCAAAGTATGCAATACCTGGTGATGACTTAAGTTAGATATATATATTATATGCTTCTGATTACTGACATTACTATGAATGTGTTATTGATTTTATTTTCTCTTAGATATAAACTTCTATTCTAAGTAACATCGAAATCATCAGACTTATGAAAGAATATGTTCATTTTCCTTTGCGTTACTGTTAACACTTATCAAAGTTGTACTGGAAGTTTAACTGATAGATGTATGAATGAGAGTACGATTAAATCTTAATAGAAATAATCGATCTGAAACATATCAACTACAATAAATATTTCTTAGTTGTTTTATTATGGCAATAGAAAAAATTTTCCTTTCATAGAATCATTTGTCCTTCGGAGTAAAAGATAAAATATAACGTTCTCTCTCTCTCTACGATGTGTCGGTTAATCCACGTGTATCGTTTAAAAATAATTTTTTTCTCGATCAATATTATCATTAACAAGTTATAATAAACATGCAACGAACGAAACCACAAGAGAAGAATGTAGAACAAAATCTACGTCGTATTCAAAAACTACAATTAGAAAATTCAGGTAGTATTTCATGTAAATATTTTTTTAAATCTAATTTTTTATTTTCTTGTTTTAGTTACAAAAATCAATTCAAATAAGTTACATACATTTTTTTAAAAAATCATAAAATTAATTATTTTTTACTTAGATATACAATGGAAGATTTAGCAAATGAAATTTTCTATGAAATATTTGAATATCTTGATCTATATGATATTTATAAAGGATTTTACAATCTAAATATACGATTTCGAAATTTAACTATTCATGCAAATGTTTTAACTAAAATCAATTCTTCAATAATGTCAAATTCAAATTTTAAAGATTATTATCAAAATATTGTTAAGTCAAATCAACAGCAAATTAATTTTCTTCGTTTAACAAATCCATTTGCCATTAATATTATTTTTTCATCATCACGTACTATTTCAAATTTTTATTCTCTTGAAACATTAATTCTTGATAACTTACAGAACAAAAAGTTTGACCAATTCTTTGATTATTTTATACGCTTACCTAATCTTCATTCATTAAATATCTCTCTCAATGAGTGTATTAAATCATTATATATTCTTTTTTGCCAAATATTTCGTTTACCAAAATTAAAATATTGTAAAATTGAATATTATACTGAAAATGAGAAAAAGCCATTATATGTTGATTTAAATTATAATTTTAGTTCTACTATTGAACATTTAATAATAAATGGTCCTTTTCCATTTGATTCATTTAATAATTTATTATGTTGTCTTCCTAAACTTAAATATTTATCAATTAATTCTATTGTTGAATCTCATAGGATTATCAAAATAAAAGAATTATCTCCAATTGAATTAAAATATTTCAAGAATATTTTTCTTAAATTTGATTATATTCATTTTGGCAAATTTGAAAAAATTGTTAAAGATTTTTTTCATCATGTTCAAATTTTACGTCTTACAATAATTGGTGATGAAAGATCTTTAGATGCTAAACAATATCAAGAATTAATAACATTATATATGCCATATTTACGTATTTTTGATATAAATCATGAATATTCTATAGAAAAGAATGATTTAACATATCATGATATAATTAATCAGTTTAATTCTTCGTTTTGGATTGAAAATAAATGGTTTTTTACACATCAACACCGTCGAACACCTGGATCACATGCTGGAATTTTTCATTCTACCGTTCCATATCGGTAAAAATAGATTATTTCCTGTCGAAAAAATCATATCCATAATTCCTTTTTATTGTAAATCAAAAAGAGATAGAGTTTTAATCATTTGACAGAGAAGACCCAAGTCTATTTAAATATAAGAGAGAAATGATTTATAAGTAATGTTTTAATGATTCTAAACATCCATATGCTAAAGTGATGTTCTATCATATGCAAAGATTGATTGTAGAATATTAGATACATTTAGATAGCAATACCAGACTTATGTTCCAAGAATAATCTTTGAATACTGATGTCTAACCAATATTAATGCAAGATATTTTTTATTCGATAGGCTTATTTAAATTATATAGTGAATTTTAAGTCTTTTTTGTGGGCAAAAATCTTCTGTCATTCTTCCTTGAATAGTGAAAATTATTTGAAAAAGAAAAGATCACGACGAATACTTTTGTGAATAGACAATGATTTTTATTTGTTTTCTTTTAGACGAAAACATTATACGTATTATTTGACATTTAATAATGAAGTTTGTTCAAATATTCAAGAAAATTTAAATTCAGTTAAACATCTGCATATTGTTAGCCAAGGAATACAAAATAATGTTCTTAATTATTTTCCAAATGTTAATCAATTAAGTATTAAAGATAAATCTAAAAACCGAAATAAACCAATTATAGCAATTCTTCAACGTATTGTACCTTTAAAACAACTTACGACGTTATTCATTGAATATGCTGATTTATCAGTGGAAGATCTTATTAAATTATTATATTGTGCACCTAATGTACATACATTACATTTATTTGCATTACCTTCCAGTTTTACTGATCTAGAATTGATAAAAGAAAATGAAATTTCTAAATGTGTATCAAATATGAATAAAATAGAAAATCTGAGTATTCGTACTTGGATTACATTCTATGAAATTCCATTTATCCTTCATTTCTTGCCAAAATTAAAATATCTTAAAACACAAATACTTACACATGAAACACAAAAAATAATTCGATTATTGTTAGCAGAAACTCACAATCGACTAAGAAATTTATTGTATTTATGTATTCCGAGGATATCAAAAAGATCCTTGAAAGAAATAAAATTTTTGATTAAATCAGAAAAACTACTCTATAATTACTCAATTATATGTGTTAATGAAACTTTACATTTATGGTGGTAAAGATTATGTTGTTTAATATGTTTAGTTGTTTTATATAATATATATTATGTTTGTGAAAATAAATCAAAGATGAAACTCTGATTATATTTTCTCATTTAATGTTAATTTTAAAAATTTTTAGTAAGTCTAGAGAAATCAACTATTTGAAATGCATAACAAATAAAAAATACGATCAATAAATACTGTTTTATTGTGAGTTCGACGACATATACTGTTTCGAAAATTGAATTATTAATTCTTGTTAATTGTATTTGATATGGTTTTATGTATGTATGTCTCGTCAGCAATTATTTTTTCGATCTTGATCCATAATTCTTACAAGATCAATTTTGACGAAGAAGACAGATCACGTTTCTTTATTTGAATTCTAAATACTCTTATAATTTAATTCACAAGTTATGAAATGATAATAAATACTGTAAGATACCAACCAAAATTGAATATGTTTTCCCATGAGTTTAGAATTTCAAAAATAGAGCTTTTGGCATACATACGCAGTTTGAATTTTGTATCTATAGACAGTTTATGACTTTGGACAATACTTCTCGAAACGTTTCGTTTTACTTCTGAATACTAGAAAATTATCTTTTTCTATAAACAAAAAGAGATTAAAATACTCTTTGTAAGAATTCAACGATTTCTCTTTTAATCACTAAATCTATTGATGATATATGCATTCTTAAAAATTTTTTTTTCGACACTATATATAAATATATAACCTGTTAAAATAAAATATAAAAAATCTTAGAAAAGCAAAAAGACAAATAAGAGATTTATATTGTTTGTTATTTTCTCAAATGAATTTTCATTTATTATAATAATTATCTTGAAAATTTTATTCTATAGAAAAAAAGTCAATACGTTTTTTTGAGTCTAATTAGATATTCAAACGAATAGAAAGTTTGCTAAGATTGTCAAATGGAAATTTTATCCTTCGAGAAATTGAGCTGTTTTTCTTTAAATAGACGTCGTTCGTTCGAAATGAATATAAAATTAACATAACTATAATATTGTTAGTCATCAATTGATTATATTTATTTTGAAGAATATTTCATAATACTTGAAATTTATCATTTTGTAAAAATTATTTTCGATTTTTAATAAATAAAATAGTTGAAAAGATCTTATGAGATATAATTATTTTTATTCATTAGTCATTTAATTATATTAGAAATTCTATACGTTTAAGTAGTTTAGGTCGAACTAATTATCTATTTAAATTTTTGAAAAATCTTATCTATATTAATAACACATAAAAAATGTCAAAATAAAAAAAAAAAAAATTTTCCTTTAATTTAATTAAAATTTTCATTATTTATTTATTTCGATAAATTAAACTAAAACATATCAATAATATCTTAGAAATGGAAATCAGTTTTTATAGTTTACATTTTTAATAATTTCTCTATTAATTTTTTTTTGATTTTATATACATAGAACATTTAAGATTATTAAAATATTCTTTAATTATATTTAGAAAATTCATAGTAAATATTTAAGTAAAATAATTGTTTCTTTAATGTTTGTTGATTAACATCATACAGATATAAATATGATAATCAAAGAAATTATTCAATTAATAAAACTAATAGAAGATAATATTCATCTAAATATAGTTTGTGACAAATATATAAATCATTTTCAATTTATGTATGATCTATAAAACAAAATAAATAATGTAGAAATATAAGATTGTTCAAATACAAAAGATTAATTGATAATTTATTATTATTAATGTTCGATATTGAAAATATAATTCAGACTAGAATAAAATTATAATTGATCAATTATAGATAAATATTTTATTAATGATATTGGTGACTATCATGCTTATTATGTTTAATCAATCATATTATAATTATATATATATATATTCATTTTACTTAAAATAATTAAATATAAAAATATATCAAAACAATATAGAATTTCATTATGAATTTATATTTAATGCAAATAATTTAAAATTGTTCGAATATTTATTATAGATAAAATAAAATCATAGATATTATATAAACATTGAAATTTGTCAAATCAAATATATTTTTACTAATTTATTAGGAATTAATCAATTGAAGGAAGCATTTTATTTTCATATTTATAGGTTAAATGTTTACTATAATATAGATTTATGATCAAAGTTTAGCCTCTTTTTTTGACTTTGATAGAAACAAGTTGTTATGTATTCAGTCAATTTTTTTCTTCCTGAAATTAAAAAATCAATCATAATTGTTGGATTATAATATATATGTCTATAAATACATTATTATTTTGACTTACTATTATTTATCATAATATGTATAAGTATATAAATATAATAAAATGCAATAGAAATTAATGTCATATAGATTTGATCACGTTATTGTCATTTATTAGTTAAAATTGGAAGAAGAATTCTAAAAATAAAAACGAGAATAACAATTTTTAAATAAAAAATAAAAACGTCTGGAATACTTAGTAAAATTTTCATGTTATGTTTCATTAATTGATGATAGAATATCATTTAATCGTGTTAATTATATCATTTTCATTTAAACATTGTACAAGAAATCGAAGTATTAGATTTATATTGATTCAAACATCGATTTTTAAATTGACAATTGAAATTCTAAGAAAAATTTTATAAATAAAAACAATGAACATTTTTATTTCCTAATTGTCGAAAAGCAACAAAAAAAAATGGATCAATTGATCGTAATGCTGCAAATAATGATAGAACTTAAAATAGTGTTAATTCTATGAAATAAATATCCAAACGCCATTGATCATATTTGAAAAGAAAAAGTCAAGTATAATTTGAATATTATTAAAAAAGAAAACTACTGCCCATTTCAAAAAAAAAGGCGGGTGGATATTCTTTGAATAACTTTTGATAGGAACAATATGGAGAGCTGTGATTTTCACCGTTGGAAAGAGGCAATGAAAAAAGATCGATTTGTATGTTACAGATTTTTTCTGACAAGTATTTTAAAGGTTTTTTCTCGAATCTTTTTAAAAAATCAACGATTTTAGACGTGGAAAAAAATTGATTTTTTAATAAAGACTAAGAAAAAAGCGTTTTTTTTTTCGCTAAAAATCGACCGAAAATACACAGTAACATGTTCAAAAATCATGATTAGCTGAAGATAATAATGCCGGGTTTATTTAGCTGATAAAACTTTCGTTAGTGATTCTAGTGCCCTTCTGAAACTTAAAAGTCCATAATATTCACATGATGTAACGTTTTGTCTTTTGAAAACTTGTTGAGGAACCCTTAAAATACTTGTCAGAATAAAATCTGAGGTATAAAAGTCGATGCAATTTCATGGTCTCTTTCCAACGGTGAAAACTGCAGCTTTCTATCTTGTTTCTATCAAAAGTTATTCAAAGAATACCAACCTACTTTTTTTTTGAAATGGGTAGTAATCTGAGATAATCGAATAGTAAAATGTCATTTTAAATGAGTAAGAAATATAATGAAAAGTTATTATGAATAATGTTTTCATTGATCATCTTCAATTCAAACACAATTAACAATAATTGTTAACAATCGTGGTGAATTTTATCACAATATAAATTGTATCTTATTAGTTTTTTTTCTCTTTTTAGGTAGATACACATTATAGGAATATATATATGAGGGAATGGCAACTTTTTGGTACGATTGAAATTTTAGCTGTATTTCGCTAATAACTTTTTCTATGCTGAACTGATTTAGACCAATTTTTTTATATGTTATTGATCTTGAAGTGTCTCACTACCATAGAAAATTTCAGCTCTCTAGCTCGTAGAGTTGCTGAGTTATCAGCCCTTTACTGTCAAAAAATTCTATTTTACGGGAAGATGTATTAAGAAAGGAATATTTTCTATGTATAAGAGAAAAGAGAAAAAATATAGTGAATAGTCAGTTTTGTACAGCTTGAAATGCTCTATCAAACGGTGTATCCTTTATATGTTTTCCTTTTCTTTTCACACCCATTCACACCAAATACTTAATTACACACACTTTGTTATTTTTGTGTAGAGCGACATTATCGCTCAATTGACTTCGTCTGTGCGAAATTGGAAGAGAAGCGAAGATAGGCAAAAGAAAGACAACTGAAATAGTAACAAAATGATTAAAAAACAAGATTCTTCTAAATGAGTGTTTTTTGGATGAAAAAAATTCATTATTTTCTAAAAATTCGGATTTCACTCACTTTGTAGAGCGACTTTTTGAAAAGTAGATTGTAAATAACTCCTGAACGGCTTGATTGTTTTTGCTCAAATTTTTACCGCAGATGTAGTTCTAAAAGGTACATAAGCACTCAAAAATTCAGCAGTCTATCTCATACTGTTCCTGAGAAATTTACAAAATACGATAAAAGGTGTGGGTGTGGGTGGGTGTGGGTGTGGGTGTGGGTGGGTGTGGGGGTGTGGGTGTGGATGTGGGTGTGGGGGTGGGGGTGTGGGTGTGGGGGTGGGGGTGGGTGTGGGTGTGTGGGTGGGTGTGGGTGTCATCGGAAAGAACAGTGACACTCACACCCACCCACATCCACAGCCACACCAACATCCACACCCACACCCTATCAAGAGGACAGAGTGACTATAGATGATCGTCAAGGTTTTATAAATACTCATGCTATTATGCACAACCAATTATCTGCTCCACAATTCGAAAATCTCATTAAGTCTGGATTTGCGTAAGGTAAAATAATCAATGAAACGCTTGGGAAAATTTATAACCCAAAAGATATTTGCTTTAAGTTTTACGATATTTATTGCTCAGTCGCCAACTACAAGCAGCATCTTTGTTATTATCATTTGGTTGAAAAACTTCATATTCATTAATAGTAAATCATCCAAATATATCGTTATATACTATATACCTATATGAATAAATAACATTAATTCTATTGATCAACTAATTCTTCTGATAAAGACCATTTTTTCAGTTCTAGGTTACTAAACCTTTAGATAACATGAATATCAGCGCATATCGAATGTCTCTAATCCCCGAAAGAAGGATTTTAAAACTCTGTTGT